AAATAACCCAATGACATAATGAGTCAGTTAGGGTTCAGATGAGAATGGCAGAAACTAGCTTAGCTGGTTTTAGGGGAGGAATACAAGGAATTACCTGTTAACAAAAACCATAGAAAAGCTAAGCCTTCAGGAAGGACTTCCAGAACAACATCACAACACTGACCAGTCAAAAAAAACCTCCTTCCTGGGACATAGTAAATCAAGAATCTGCTCTCTGGAACAACTGTCCTAGGAATCTACTACCTTAGCTGCTACCCAAGGATCGGAAAGCCACAGTCAGAACTGTTGTCTCCTGAACGACATATGCCTATAGAGCCACAAAAGCAAATGAGAATTGTGGTAACATTCACTGATATAAAAACCACAGACGAAAAGAGAATTGGTGAGAAAGATCACAACTTCAGTTTAGGACATGCAGTTCCTATGAAATGTCCAAATGTATATTTCTAGAAGGCAATAGGAAGTACAAATTTGTAGGGGACAGATTTAGACTAAATTTATAGAAAAGAATGAGGTAAGTGCTTTATAAACATTTTCTTTATCCCAACAGCAAGCAAGTCATGAGTTATTATTATGCCCAAGAAAATGAGGTTTGCAGTAGTTAATACTTGACTGAGGTCACACAGCTGATAGGAATCAGTCAAAATTCAAGGAAAAGGTTTTCAAACTCCTACACTTAACCACTGGACAAGCCTGGAACCGATCCTCCTATGGGCAGTGAATGAAACTGCAGAGTATATGAGGTCACCCAAGGAACATCCATAGAACAAGAAGAAAAGGCCATGGACAGAACCGTGGGATCACCAAGGTCTAAGAGATGAACAGAGGAGGGCTTTAAACAGGAGAATGGGGAGCAGAGTAGGAGAAAAGTGGGGAGAGTTTATTATTAGTATATTATCACAGAATCTCAGGAAACAGAATCTTTCATGAATGAAGACAGTTGTCAGCCAGTTGCCTCAGATTGATTCAAATTCAGTAAGGACTGAGAAGTCCTCCAGATTTAGCAACAAAGAAGTTCCCCATTCTAACCCGTCGTTACATACTTACACTCTATTGCTTAGCTCAAACTCTGTAAGATGCCTCCATTCTGTCTCCTGTAAGACATTTGAGGTTGAAGTGTATGTCTGTTCAGTCCTTTATTCCTAGGACCAAGCACATATAATGGATAAATTAATGTTTTCATTTTATAAAGGAATAATTGTGAGGACATAGATATGTGCTTCTTAAAGGTGCTAAATATATCCAGCTTAAAGAGGGATCAGGAAAGGGTTTCCTCTCCTAGATGAAGTCTTATAGACAAGTGAGAGATCTATCATGATGAATAAAAGATATCTACAAAGAATAAATTATCAAAACAATTTAGGAAGCATTCCCAGCTAGTTTTAGGAGAAGTCCCCTCCCCCATTGCCCTTTGCCCTCACCAATATTCCCCTAGTCTATGTGACATTCTTTTTTTAAAAAGTCATCTAAAGCTATGGCTCCAGCTCAATGATAGCAGTTGTATCCTAAGGGCAAAATAATGGTTTAGACTGTGGGCAAATGATGCAACAACTTTGGACCATGTTGTAATTCTAGGAATGATCTCATCTTCTCACCTACTCATCACAGTGATGTTGCATCAGCAAAATGATAGTCCTAGTGAAAAAGCCATTCAAAATAAGGAGTCAAAATGGCAAAATACTGAGGAAATCTTTGAGAAGACTTGATGGCTTCAGATGGCAAGAAGACAGGAGAACTGAAGGAAGCTTGCTGACGGAGTGAAGTGGGATGATTGCCTCTCTGCCTTACTGAGCCTCTCCCCCGTGAAGACAAAGAAAAAGAGCCCTGCTCAGCAGGAAACCTTTATCCTTTCCCAAACCGTCTTCAGTGGAACCTAGAGTCTTAGAACTGTCTGAATAATAGAGGAGGATCCTTGGTCAACTAGTTTTGAGAAATGCAAAAAAAAAAATCCAAAAATCACAGATTCAAAATACACATTTGCATAATGAAACTCTGAAACTACCTGGAATAAGTAAAATGGCTAACTTGTTTAACATATTATTTCCAAATAATTATTTTGCCATAGGGTGTTTCCATCTAACACGTGTTAATGTCCTGTAGCTTATGTTCTTGGGAAAAACTGAGGGATCAGTTCCTAAATCTGGCAGTAGACTATGGTGGGCTTGGCAAGTATGTAACCAAATAGGCAAAAAATGAAACATAAGACAGCAAAGAAATTTCCCCAACCATGGTGAACTACTTTGAACCACACCTGTGGAACCCCAAGGGGTACCTGAATAGAGAGATTTGAGAAGCACATAAGGCACAAGCTCAGGTGATAAAATCCCAGAAGCAGACATTGACAGACCCCTCCAAAATCACCTTTACTTATTAACTGATGTCTGGAATTTCTTGAAAAGGAAGTGACTGTCCTCAGTTACAGACATATGCTTAAAATGCAAATGACCTGCAGACCATTAATGGAGGTTCAAGGTCACACCGCTGACCTACATAAAATCCTAAGAGTTAATGTGAAGGAAGAACACATATTAGGAAGCTCAGAGACCGAGGAGGCTGTGGTAAGAGTAGTGACGGTGCACTGGATGGAGGGGCTGAAAGAAGCGGTGACCCCTGGTTGACCATGGAACTGGCTCCGCACTGAGTCTCCACTTAAACCAGCAAATTCTCACGCCCATAACCACATGAGAAAACTGGGAGAAGACGCCACCCGTGGTGACCCACAGATTGGCCTCAGAGAATCAGAGACAAGGTCCAGCCAGAACCCCGGGGCTGCCCTGTGGACAGAGAAATCAGAGAAAAGCTGACTCAGAGAGGGGATGTTTTGCCATTGCAGTCATTGACTCAATCTGAGGTACATTATTCTCTTCTCTTTATCATTTTTTAAATCACAAAAGCTATATGGTCATAAATATGAACTACCTCTACAAATACTCTCAATTCACGTTATCTGATATAGCTAGTTCTTATTCTACTAGTAAGCACAGAGTTCCTCTAGAGAAATAACTGTCTTTGTTTAGAAAAATACCTTGATGAGGTGCTTGGTGGTGGAAAGGGAGGCCCTGAGACCCGAGATTGTAAGCTGTAAGGAAACAACCTGGAGATTCCTAAGAGGCCCCTAATTTTAAAAATAATAATAAAACAAAAGTTTAGGATTGGAAGCAAGTATAAATAGGGAAAGGCCAGTGCCAGGGTAGGAAGCAGGAGATCTAGTTGGTGAGAGTTTTTTAAGAGCAGGGAAGCTTAGCTCTAAATTTTAAATTATCTCCAGTGTGGTGTGGAGCCATAACTCTCCTATGGATCAGTCAATTCCCATAGAAAGTATTCGCTGTTCCCTTCTCATAGGTAATGTTATGTTATTGTAAGCATTTGTCACATTGTTTTAAGAGTATTTACCTCCCTATATCCCCACCAGTGAGCATAAGCTTCCAAAGGGACTGGGGCATGATCTCACTCATTCATTCATTTCTTCATTATTGTAATTTAGAAGAAGAGAACAAAAAAAGACTACTTTCTCCCTATCCAAGAGTGAATATTAAGAGGGCCACTAAAATCCATCTCAATGTAATATTTAATGCTCTTTGAATCACTAAAGATAAGCAGAAATATAAAATATAAAATCCAGGGAATGCCTTTAGGTTTTATTTTAATGCAAAGATCAAGGAAAGTCTCATAAAACATGTATTAGCTGATCCAAGTCCATAAATATTTATTCTATAAACATTTACTATACATACACCTGTTATACTCCAGACACTGATTAAATATACCAGGTCTTCAAATATAGTTGAACTGTGACCACACAGAATTAAAGCATCTATTTAATGAATTGAGCTGGAATTTTTGCCTTTGCTAACACACAACAGCCAATTACCAGATGATTTAGAAGATATCTGAATAGTTAAAATTTTAAGGTACACCATATTTAGGGTGTTTGCCATGATGTCAAAGATGACACTCTCCCAAGAAATGTATAGTATAACAACCAAATGAATGTGTTGTGATAGGAAAAGCCCTGGACTGGGAGTTATGACTACTATTAACTAGCTGTGTGACCTTAAGGAAATAAATTAATCTGTCATCTTGGCTGCAATGTCATCTTTGGTAAAAATGAAGTAATCGGGCTAGAATGTCTAGATTATGGGTCCTTACTTGCTATACGTAGAATGACCATTATGTATATCAAGGACTAAACCAGCCCTGGTTAGCAGCCAGAGTCTGGGTGATTGGAAGGGAAAGATGGATAAAGTGGTTTCCAAGTCCAAGGTCTGGCTTTGGAGAAACCTGAAACTACAGATTGTGAAGCATGGTAAGTCTGGGAGATGAACCGTCAGGCCCAAGCTTGAAAACTGCTTGATGCTTTTTCATGTAATTCAAGAGGAATTCAGAGTAATGTTGACCACTGTGAGAAGAAATAATTGACTAAAAGGAGACTTGCAGAAGGGAATCCTCCGTGCTCCACTAAGTACCTGGAGGGTGAGGGATGGAGTGCAGGCTCCCTGGTGGCCACAGACCCAGTGGCAGCCCAGCGTCTCCACCTACGCCTCTTGCCGTCATTCCCTTTGATGAGGGGTCCTGCCACAGGATGTCGGAGGTGTTCTGTTTCTTGACTTTGGTGACAGAATGTTTACTTACTAATTATTTGATTATTTGTATGTTTTATGCACTTTTCTATGCATTTCAATTTTTTTTGTTTTAAAATATGTGGTACAATATTCCTGAATGAGGCACCCCAAAATTTTAAATTGAGAAGGCATGTCTGAGTAGCAATTTGATTCTGGCAAATGAAATGTGTTTTCTCATGGATTAAATTTATGCAGCAGACGGGCAGGGGGGAGGGGGAATCCTTTGAAAGACAAATACATTGTGTGCTTCCTGCCAATAAGAATATAATACTTCCTCGTTGTCATTAATGAAAAATAACACACACTTCAAAGTTCTGTAGATACTAAAAAGAAAGAAAACACTCCAGTGAGTCACCTATTTCCACATTCAGGGATGAGAAGCTGTATAAATCTCTCCACCTTCTGGCAGAAAGAACCAAATCAACCGTTGATTTGAGACCAATCCTCTTTGCACAGCAGCTATGCAGCTGGCTGAGCTATGGGCTCTGTGCCTGCTGCCCGGCAGCCTGGCCCCACCACTTCCCCGGGAGGCAGAAGGCATGAGTGAGCTGCAGTGGGAACAGGCTCAGGTATGTCGCTGCCCATTCACCTGGGACTCCAGGGTCTTCCCATCAGCATTAGGAAGTATGGTTTTCAATTTTGGCAATTTTTGTGATTACAGAAGCAATACATGTTTTTATCAAGTAACTAATGAGAGCAGGCTTCAGTGCCTACCTAAGCTGGTTCAAACTCCAGCTCCCCCACTCACTATGTAGTGAACATAGGAATGTCAATGGACTCTGAGCTTTTTTGACTTGAAAGTTGGAGATTATAATGGTATGAACCAAACTGGGGAGGGAAGGAATGAAACATTTAGCAGTACCTGAAATATTGCTCATGCACAGTAAATTGAATTTGTTAATTATTATTATTATTTATCGTAACTTCAAATTCTTTTCATAAAGAGCAGAATGTTGCCTTTTAAGAGGGAGACCAATGATGGAGAGACTCAAAATCAGAAAACAAGTGTAGAACTTATAACTCTCCCACTTACAAGCTGATAATGAAGGGCAAGGCATGAACTTCTGTGTCCAATGGAAATAATAGTACTATGTGCTTTCTACCTCACAGGAGTATTCTAGTGAATAAATGAGGTAGTAACAATACCAACTATTATGTATGTAACAATTACAGATTATGGAGCTCTTCATATACATTATGTCATTGAATCCTCAGCTGTATTCTAGGAAAAAGAATAAACAAATGTTGACTTGATGCACATACTTGTTGATGGTAGAGATGGGGATCAAAGACAAGTTTTTCTGGTTTGAAAATCATATTCTTTCCAATATATTACTTAACAAGAAGACTAATAAATGTACAGAATTATTATTTGGTAAAATAGTGGGAAGTTTACTCCTAAGTATTGTGTATATACTTAAGCTTTAAATGCAGTAAGTCCATTCTTATTTTACATTAACTTTGACTTTTAAAAAGTAGTACGTTACACTGAACCATATGAAATTACTTATCAAATTACACATTTGACTTGTTTTTTACCTCCAAGACAGCAGTTTCAAATGGCTGCTTCTAATGGAGACCCCAGAAGGAACATACCTGCATGAGTCCTGTGTCCCTTTACTTAGAGGGTAGGTTGCTAATAATATTGAGGGAGGTTAGCTAGGTTTAATGGAAGGCAGGAAAGAAGCAGAGAGATTTCTCCCAAAGAGTGTCTTTGTAAAGCCTGTAGCTCTGGAAGGGATAAAATGAGTTATGTGGTTTTCAATAAGGGATTAAGTCCTAATTGTCACAGATGAATAATTAGTATTTGTTGTATTGAATGAAACACGATCATTGGTAACAGGAGGAGAGAGAGCACAGTATTACTAAAGTTACTTAGATAAAGTGCATACTCTGAAGAGGGTCTGAGACAAGTGAGTCTCTCCACCTACTCCAAATTACACTGAGCCAATGTTTGAATCATTTCAATAACATCATGAGCTACATAGAGGCCTCTACATTTTTC